CTTAAGTGGCGATTTATCATCTATGTATTATCTTTGCTTCGTGTGCTTCGTGTGCCAAATGTTTTTCAAATGAAATCCGTAGTAGTTCGTTGCAGTCCATACATAGTTATTTGTAAAAGTAAACTGGTTTAGCAGTGTTTAATTAAAAACTCTTAATTTACAGGCGAAGGCTCCAGGTGCGGGAACATTTTTTGACATTTGGAACCTTTCATCTTCCCCAGGATGTGGGGCATTTGCGAACATTAGGACAATATCAAAGTCAAATCTCGGGGTTTACATTGACTCGTGCATTATATAATAGTGTTTGAGGTTCAGAGTGTCAGCCAATGAACTTCGCTGGCTTGATGGTGGTCATATCTTTACAATTAATATGAATACAGTGTATATTTCGGGTTTTATTGAGAAAGGCAAGACCCCCACATTACTGAGTTTATATCAAGTGGGGCAAATTGGCAGTTGTTTGGCCATGATTTCATGAAAGGTCTGTACTGTTCCTATTATTAAACTTTCCATTCTTTGTAAACTTTCCCATTCTTCATCCACAGCAAACATTTTGTCGAAATTATTTTGAAACAGCAGCATACTGTATCAGCACAGAATAGAGATATGCAGAAATCTGACTTCTTGGTTTTTTACCTGTGATTTGGCAATGTGTACCTTAACCAGCAGTATGCAAGTACTATCATGTCACATGGTCTGGACATATAAATATATAGTAAACAGTATTTATAGGAATTTTGACATTCAAGAATGGAACAATAACAAACATTTTGAGAGTCAAGTAGTGTAAAAAGTTTGGTTTTGTAAGTTTTGTTTTAGTTTATGATATAATACAAATAGTATACACGAAATGATGTTAAGGGTTTGGTGTCACCATTTCACATTATCATATGTTTCATATGCCTAATCACTTAAAATACATGTTAGGAGTATATGGCACATATTCACATCAGTGCATTCTCATGTTGCAAAAGCTGATAAGCATAACCACTGTCATGCCATTATTTGCAATGACTTCAATTCATCAAAATGGTGACATGATTGCGATGGTTATATACATGTACCAAACTCTTAACATGCTTTCTTCAGCATGAGCTCCACCTTTGAATTTACTATATGAGTAAATTCTTAAACACGTCCGAATTTATCATTATGATAAATTCGCGGCAAATTTTGAATTTATCATAATAATAAATTCACGGCACCTAACACTTACCCTAACCCTAACCCCAAGCCTAACCACTAATCCCTAATCCCTAATCCCTAACCCCTAACCCTATCTTTTTTAACTTTTTAAATGTTTTTAACTTTTTTAAAAATCTAACTTTTTAAACTTTTCTTGCTTTTCAAAATTCTTTTAAAACTTTTTAAAACTTTTTTAAAAACTATTTTTTTCAAAAACGTGGAGCTCATGTTGGTTTTCTTGTATACTATTTGTACTATATATCATAAACTAAAACAAAACTTACAAAACCAAACTTTTACTATACACTACTTGACTCTCAAAATGTTTGTTATCGTTCTCTTCTTCAATGTCAAAATTAGTACATTACAGTCACGTAAAATCCGCACATCTTCCAGGGGTCAGGGTTACAATTGACAACAGGGGCCTGTTGTTTATGAGCCAGTTATAGCCCTTAACCTTCGAATAACAAAAAATCTTCAATCAAACTTTTCAATGGCTTGTATATTTAAATAAAGTTTAACTGTCATTCACAAACACATACAGTATAACCCAAAACATGGGCTTAGTATTTAACTTGTGGTTAATAGTGCTAAACGAGTTTAAACCACAGGCCTCGGAAGTGCATATTTTAAAGTTATCGCAAACTGTACAGTGTCATATTTGTATTAATTTATCAGTTGAGCATAATAATGTTGATATGTTATTTTAAAGATGTGGTACAGTCCGTATGTAAACAAAGGCTTTGTTTACATTTCGGCATCCAAAATATTGCATTTTATTCGACAACTATTTATATTTTTATTTAATGCACCAATTCGTTAAGCAAATATTCTAAGACATGCAATTAATTGAGAAAACAGCTATGACACACACAATGTTGTGGGAGAAGGGTTGTCGAGGAGAAATGCTCCGATTACACTTTAAACTGTGGCCAAAGTGTCGCCCCACAGACTCACTATTACAGCAATATGATTATGATATAACTAGAAAATACATGCATGCAGAAACCCTCGCCTTGCTGACAAAAGTATCTAAAGTAGTTGTCATGGTAACACGATAATTTTTTAAGAATATTCTTACAAATGAAAAATTGCCTAAAAACATCACTTTTAATTACAAAATTATCAATTTGCCAACATTTATATGTTAGGTATGTTATTATACGTAATATAAGCTTCAATTTAAGGTAAAATTCAACCACAAACGCTTCGCAAAACGTTTTAAAGTGTTCTTTATAAAACTATTCAAACACTCATTAATAATTCATAAGCTTATTGGCAAATCACGTCAACCATAATATGTCACGTGCAGTGGCTTTAAACCTGATAAAACACTCCTAATTAGTATTCTCTATATAAAGAATACTAATAAGACAGTATCTATTGTAGTCGTGTCCTCATTAGTATTCTTTATATAAAGAATACTAATAAGGCAGTATATCTATTGAATTTGTAGTCGTGTTTGAAGCCGTTTAATAAACTCGCAGGTCGTGTTTTATTATGTCTAAAGCCACTCGCGCTGCGCGCTCGTGGCTTTAAACCTAATAAAACACTCCTGCTCGTTTATTAAACAGTACTTAAACTTCCTTAGGCTTAAATGGCTTCATCGATAAACTTTGAGTTTGCAATAAAATGATTTAAAATTCTAGCATGCAAATAACTTTGCTTTCTTTTTTATTGAAAAAAATCAATATCATAAAAAAGGAAATCAATATTAAAGATGCACTGAAATTATATACTGTCTTGTTTAGCTGTTTCATGTACGCAAAGGCCGTCGGGTTTTAAAGCAATTATAAAAACAATATTTAAAACAAACTTACCTTCGTTAACGTCGGCTCCCTTCTTTTAGCCGATTCTTTCGCCCTTTCTTTCTGAGTAAGCTATTGAAATTTACAAAATCGTGCAAAAATACGAGCAAGAATGAAATATATTTGCAAGAAATTTATCAATCATCCAATCAAGAAATGTTTGCTATTTCGCTGTCGTCACAGTGTGACCAGATATGCAAGGCAATTACTAAATAAGCATGCAAAAAATTACCAAAACGCAGAAAAAATTACTAAATTTCTGCTGTCAACTAAAGTGGTCTGAAAATCAATAAAACATCTCAGTAAAAAACATCTTGGGCCAGTAGCTTGCAATTTGGATGTACAATTTGGATGTGCAGGCATGGACCTGTAACTGTTCTCAATGGATTTTTGAATAACAGGTTGTGTCATTATGGCGTATTTGGTTGAATTTCATGCGATAACCAAAATATTACTAACTTTAAGAGAAATTACTAAAAAAATTACCAAAAATTTTCAATTACCAAAAAAGTCAGAAAAATCACGAAATATTACCAAAAGTAATTAAAATTACCAAATCTGGTCACACTGTGTCGTCATGCAGTCGTTATAATGCAAACTTTAAATTGGACCAATCAGTGTCCGCTATTCATGACAGTCCGCCATATTCTTGAGATCAGTGAGGATGACCACCGCCCGGGTGTAAATAGCCGGGGGAATTAGTACCCTCGCACGGCGCTTCGCGCTGTCGGCTCGGGGACTAGAAATACATGCATGCAGTAACCCCTCGCCAATATTTTCCAAACATTAAATTGAAATGAAGTGTATTCAGAATGGCCCACTGAACGCAGCCTCGCGCTCAAGTGTTGCCATGACAACACGATTAAATTTCCGAAATAATATTATTTTTTATTTTGTGAGCTTTGATTTAATGTAAAATATAATTTGAAACGCTTCGTAAAATATTTTGAAATGTTCATTCATTATCAACTAGAGTTCATTTGCCGATAAACTAATAATAAAACATAATAAGTTACAAATAAAACAAATTGTTAGGTAATTTCAGTTCAGTCTTCAAATCAATTTGTTCTCTATTACATTTTAAGATTTTCCTCAAATTAAACGGTAATTTATGAAACTTAGAGCTTTGTTGAAAAGGAAAACAGTTCCAGTTTTTACTTTTAGGCAAAAAGTTTAAAGCAACAAAATTCGTAAACATACTAAACATTAAATATTCAAAGCAAACTTGCCGTATATTTCACGATTTCCCATAGCAAATCAATTCTTCTCATTTCTTCAAACAAAATTGCTTCAAGCTTGTTATGTATGAAACGATTTTCCAAATATATGTCTTTTAAAATTGAAATCTTGCTCATCCCACTCCTACAAGCAATCAGCCATATTTTTGAGATCAGTGAGGATGACCACCCACTCAACATCGTTGGTGACCGACGCCCGCGCTCATTGATGAACTTTAGACTTGGCTAATGCTTTCGTTTCCCCGGGTGTAAGTAGCCGGGGGAATTAGTACCCTCGCCTCCGGCTTACGCTCGAAACGGCGCTCCGCGCCTTTGGCTCGGGGATTATATGCCCTCAGGGAGTCGTGGTTCCCCCATGTTGGACTTTACCCAAGGGGTAGTAGAGTCCTGAGATGGGCATCCTAAATGTCCAAGGGGTAGTAGATCCCCGTGATAGTTATTGTTTACTTTAATGTCCAAGGGGTAGTAGATCCCCGTGATGGTCATTGTTTACTTTAATGTCCAAGGGGTAGTAGATCCCCGTGATGGTCATTGTTTACTTTACAATACGCTATATAATACATTGATTTGGGTGAGTCTATGGGGTTGTGGGTGACCTTTGGGAGCAATCCATCCCCAAACAACCAAATCCTTTTATTTTTACAACCAGACTTGCACAGTCAATTCCAAATGAATACTGTATATTACAAAGTATAGATGTGCCTGTAATAACATATTAGCCAGTAACTACTCCATAATACTTTATCTAGAACACTACATGAATTGCATTTCATGTGAATCTTGATGATGAATCGTCATTGATTGCTGGTGCCTTCCCCCCGTCATTGACTTTCTTCGCGACTTTCTTAGCAACTTTTGCCAAATTCTTCCCAACTGCCATTGCAGCATGCGTTGCACCATTTTTTATATGGTCCACTATGGCTTTATTTTCGACATCGTCATCAAGACGTTCCTTGACAAAGTTAGCAAAACTTTCCACTGCTATTGTCGTTGTATCTTCAATAGCATCACATATGTTAGAAGAAACTGTTTCAAACGTTATCAGTGCATCGTCTACTGAAACCACGCCTTGGAGCGTGTTTTCTGCAAGCCCTCCCGGTAACCCAACAATCCCTCCCAGCCACGCATCAAGTAAGACATGTAAAATAAATTGTTTCCAGCTAGTTTTCTGTCCACCTGCAAGAATTGCGTCTATATTATTAGTAAGGGATGTGATAAGGCCACGAAAAGCTGTGGTGGCTACACAACAATCAAGCTTTGCAATTGCAAGAACATAAAATGAAATAAAAACCTAATAGGCTTTTGTAAAAGACCAAAATGATATAATTAATGACATTAATTAAAACACATTTCTTCGTTTGTAATGATACTACATGAATCAATAGAGTTTTTAATAGAGTTATCAAGAGAATTAACAGAATATATTATTTTCTTTTTAAGTCATTTTCTTTGCGTGATTAATAAATGTGGTTTGTTTACTTTAGCTATTTTTAGCAATTCAGTATTTCATAAACATGATCATTAAATGTGGCACAGTGCTCACATAATTGATAATGATGAATATAATGAAAGGACTTTCTGTATTCCAAGCATAGTATTTAGAGATACATGAAGTTACACTGTACATCTGATATTAGACTAAATGTGATCAAAGCACTAGTAAAGATATTATTTGTCACTGTTTCCTTTTATTTTTTGTTATAAATATTATGGTTATATATTGTGTCCTCATATATGTTTTGAGTCACTGGGTGAAGTGGTTACGCTGTAGTTCTCCCGCTTTTCCAAATTTAACATGCCAAGTATCATGGCATTAATTATTTATATTAAGTTTTTAGCGCTGCAATATAGCATGCAAAATTTGAACATAGATCTCCAGACAAAATAGAGAGATATAGCGCATTGTTTTTCTAAAATGGAAAATTTTAATGACGTCAGTAATTGACATAAAACGTTATAGAACACGCGCAATGACGTGAGATGGCGCGAGCAACTGCTCACGTCAGGTCATTTTGGAAGTTCTTTTATTTCGTTAATATCGAGCCACTTTTGTACCCGGAGTGAACGCCTCAGCCAGTGTCTTGTTAGATCAGACGTAACGTACAATATCTCTTCTCTATATAGGGTAAAGATATGAAGTAGATTCTGGTTGACAACAAATCAGCTCATGCGATCACCTTGTTCATCCTCCCGACTTGGTCCAAATTTCGTTGTTTATCGTATAGTATAATTGTGGAGCGAAGTAAAAGCTTCTTATTTGAAGAGGAAACAGCTTTTCAATTTGAACTCGGAGCACGCCCTAAAGGAGAAAAAATGCAGACTATTTGGTCTGCAAGAATGTGGGAAAAAGATATGTTGCTTCGAGTCACTGGTGACCATGAGATACATGTACAAGATGAAGAATTAGCGGAGTGCAAGCAAAAACAAATTTGTATACGGCGTCAAAATATGGCAAAAGAAGTTTCAGCGGCAGAAAGCAAGAATTTGTACGAAATCTTAAACCTCGATATGCAAGAAGTTCGTAGGGAACCCCTAGAAGAACAGAATAAAATAATAAAAAAAGCTTATCATTCTCAATTGCGGCGCTGGCATCCTGACCGGAATCCTGAGAATGGTGATTCCGCTATATGTCAAGAGATCATCTTTGCGAATACGATTCTTAAAGATCCCGAAGCACGTGCTGCGTATAATAACGTCGCGGATTTCGACAAAGGATGGCTCTCAAGAGCGCGATATAAAGCCATATTCATGCCCGAATGTTACAGCGTTGAGCAGAAGAAACAGTATGGAAAGAGAATTGGATTATTGTTTTTATCAAGTCTTCTCATAGCAGGAGGCATTGGTTTAACTTTCTTAACAGCAGGAATGGCCGCACCCGTTGCACTCGGGATAACAGCCGCATCAGGAGCCCTTATCGGAGGTGGGATTTCAAGTGGATTACGGACAATAAACCGTGAAGCAATAGAAGACGGTTGCTCTTTCCGTAAATACTTTACAAGTTTAATGATTGGTGCTGTTGGTGGAGCAGTCATAGCAGTAGGAGTAGCTGGAATTGCGATATTTTTGGGTGGAGCAGCAAAGCTTGCATTTAAAGCTGCCCAACTTTCCCTCGAACGGCAAATTAGCACGAGGATAGCCACCACAGCTTTTCGTGGCCTTATCACATCCCTTACTAATAATATAGACGCAATTCTTGCAGGTGGACAGAAAACTAGCTGGAAACAATTTATTTTACATGTCTTACTTGATGCGTGGCTGGGAGGGATTGTTGGGTTACCGGGAGGGCTTGCAGAAAACACGCTCCAAGGCGTGGTTTCAGTAGACGATGCACTGATAACGTTTGAAACAGTTTCTTCTAACATATGTGATGCTATTGAAGATACAACGACAATAGCAGTGGAAAGTTTTGCTAACTTTGTCAAGGAACGTCTTGATGACGATGTCGAAAATAAAGCCATAGTGGACCATATAAAAAATGGTGCAACGCATGCTGCAATGGCAGTTGGGAAGAATTTGGCAAAAGTTGCTAAGAAAGTCGCGAAGAAAGTCAATGACGGACAGAAGGCACCAGCAATCAATGACGAATTCAGCAACCAGGATAAAGCAACTGATGGTATTTATGAAGAAACTAATGATGAAACAAAGAAAGATACAAATAACACAACACCAGTCGCAAATAATGTTATAAAAACGGCTGAGAAAGAAGGAATCAACCCGACTAGCGAATACAACGACAGCACTAGAGCAAGTGATGATATTGGTGGAGAAGTTGAGGATTCCGATAACGCAGAAAAAAAAGACAAATGTAAAGAAAATATAGATAATGATGCTAAGACTGAATGCACAGGGAGAAATGGCAGCTCAGCTGAATACTTTTACAAGTTCTTAACAGCGCTAGCCGAAACAAGTGATAATGATGACTTCACGGATCAACCTCTACCGTGTTACAAGTCCTTAATAGCAGAAACGAATGATGATGACTTTACGGAACGCGTGGAACATAGACTAAAGTATATTTCTAAAGGGCATTGGTTTTCCAAGATGCTTGTTGATTATGAAGAGAACGGTGAAACAAAACATAATGAGGTTAATAAAGATAGTGAAAATTCGATTCCGATACCAAACAAATCTACTAATATCAAAGTTAGATTTCAAGTAATGCGCTTTCCTGGTATTTGGTGTGATGTAAAAAAGTACGACCGTTTCCAAAAATGTTGGATAGAACCAATCCAGCCACATACTTTCGAGTACAACACACCAGTAAGTCGCACGTACACTTTGACTGGAAATTTGTATTACGAAGTTGTAACGAAGATCGATAATAATGATTTCTCGGAATATAGACTAAAGCATATTTCTGATGGACCTTGGGTTTCCCAAATGCTTGTTGATTATGAAACCAACGGTAAATCAGAACATGAGGTTAAAGGTAGTAAAAGTTCAATACGGATACCAAACAAAGCTACTAATATCAAAGTTAGATTTCAGGTAATGCGCTTTCCTGGTATTTGGTGTGATGTAAAAAAGTACGACCGTTTCAAAAAATGTTGGATAGAACCACGCCAGCCACATACTTTTGAATACAACACACCAGTGAGTCGCACGTACACTTTGACTGGAAAGTTGTATTATGAGGCTGTAACGAAGATCACAGTAGATTATAACGATATAAACGAAATCTGAAAGACTGCACTGTCGTGCCACACAACAAGATGTAACATGATGAAGTGAGATTTCCTAATTTTGAATATATCACGAAACATAAAAGACCATATCTAGAACAAACAAAGGACAAAAGCGGGTATTTTTTACATACTGCGATAATTTCACCGTTGTCATTGATCCAAAGTTTTTATTCGAAAGCCACCAAGCAGCTAGCCAACGCATCAAAACATCAAAATCAATTTGCGCGCTGGCTATTCAGAACTACAGAAGCTTTACACACAATGATTTGTCAGGCCAATTTCTGGTTTTTGGTTCAATTTTGCTCAATTAACCATACAGGACATGCCTTGTTTGGAGGATTTGCATGTATTTGTCGTTGTAAACAGCTAATTATTTCAAACGAAACCAGAACAACAACAAAACAAGTTACCACTTGCATACTAGACTAACCTGAAATTCAGGCCCTAATATAAATAGGGCCTGACACAAAACCTGTCTGAACCATGGGACGCCCACATGTTATTTTTAGACACAGTCATACAATATGATTGACAAGTGTTGTAGATTTCATTGCACGAAAATAAATACGAAAAATATGAAGATGTTCATTTCATGTTGGATTACCTGTTTTTATATTCTCATGAACATGTCCGCAGTGTGTGCATTTTGCTTTTTAAAAATTCAAGGTACTTTTAAGAGTTCAGTTTTTCTATTTAACCATAGTCTATCGAAGGGGAGATGGCTGCATATGAAACTCATTAGAATAACAATATAACTCATTATCTATGTAAATGTTATTTCGCTGACCTCAAAATGACATTTCGTCAAAAAAATTTTCTTCAACATTGGTTTAGAAACAAACTTGGAGTAGGGTTAGGTTAGGGTTACAGTAAGGATTAGGGTTGGGGTTGGAGTTGGTGTTTGGAATAGGGTTAGTGTTAGTAAAACCGTTGCTTTGTTACGTTTTGTCACTCTGAGGCCAGCGAAATAACCTCTTCCTATCTTATATTAGTCAACGTTTATTCATAAATCTGGTCCTTTCACCGTCACGTGTGTATTGTACTTTTACGAAATGCACCAATAGCAATTTCCATTTTCCCTATTGTTCGAGTCACGGGTAAGTAACTTTCCTAAAACATTCCTATTGGTCAGTTGGGCAAAAATACCATACACATGCACGTGACGGCGAGGAACCAAATTTATGAATAAACGTTGACCAACATAGATAATGAGTTATATTGTTATTCGAATGAGTTTCACAGCCATCTTCCCTTCGATAGGCTATGATTTAACTGAACAGCGAACAAATATTTAGTCAGTTCTGTGCAACTACTTTCCGCAATTGGAATTAAAGTGCGTCCGATCAGGAAAATATGCTAAAGTCACTTGTTTCATCATCAAACAAGGATGTAAACAAACGGCTTGAATGCAAAGCTTTCTCAAGTTCTCAACTTGCTGGCTGCGGATATACTCTAACGGGCTATAAACAACAACAACAACAACAACAACAACAACAACAACAACAACAACAACAACAACAACAACAACAACAACAACAACAACAACAACAACAACAACAACAACAACAACAACAACAACAACAACAACGAAATTCTTTATCGTACCATGACGAAGGCGATCTAGCTCAGAAAACAACGCCGGTAGGACCTGATAAATAAGACTTTTGCCGAAGCCAGTTGGCAGAACAGCAAAGACATCTTGGGCCTTGGCTGTCAACAACAACCTTTCGAATACATGACTTTTGCCGTTCTTTCAGCGTCGTGTGTCCAAAATTCGTCAAATATTTTGATAAAGCCCTTTCAAAATACTGTTTGTTTGATTTATTTTCTGCCATAAAGCATAAAACAAAAGAAATTCGAAAAAATTCGATAATACTATTAGGCCCGGTTTACACGGCGAACTTTTCATCTGCCGAATCTAATTGTCGTAGATACGGCAAAATATCGGAAACTGATTTAGACGTCGAACTTAATTGTACCGTACCAAATTGCGAAGACACTATATTGGACATATTTACAATGCAAATATATGATAATCATATTATGATGTTAAAAAATAATTATGCATTAGGTTCGGCGCATGAAAAGCACGGCGTCTAAATCAATGTCGAACCTGTGTCGCATATACGACTTGTCCTGTCGCATCTTCGAGTCGTATCGAACTTAATCAAAACCTGCCGAACTTAATTGATTTAGACGCCGCTCCAGCATCGCACTAGCTTAATTCTTTTATTAGATTGGCGCATGAAAAGTTCGCCGTCTAAACCGGCCTTACGATAATCACAATGGAATTTGATATGTATCAAATCGTTTGACCTTTTCACATTGACCGAGCTATTTATAAAATAGTGTTTATGTGAACTTGCAACCAATCAAAATCTTTCATGATGCTGATTAACCAATCAGATTTCCCGTCCACCAGATGGACAGGTTTTGTGTCAGCCCTATATTTATATTAGGGCCTGAATTTCAGGTTAATACTAATTAAAACTAGAAAATGCATGCAAGCAGAAACCGTCGCCTTTCTGACAAAACAATTATGTTTTCTAAACATGCATTATTGTCATGTTAACACGATAACTTTAAGAATAGTTTTAAAATTGAAAAATGCCCCAAATATCACTTTTAATTACAAAATGATCAATTTCCCAAACATAAATTTTCTTTAAATTAGAGTCCCAATACCATTACCATATACATGGAATCAATGAATTGTTACTGAAATGTAGCACTACAAGCGTTTAACTCTGATTTTGATAATACGCGAAGTTTCACTAACCGGATTTTAACTATTTCCTAATTAACACACGCAAACATTGTATAACATTGTATAACGAAAATTATCGATAACTGCGTACACGTGCACAGCTTGATGATGTCTACAGGTTGAATTAAGTGACATTTAATAGTAATGGTATTACTTCAACAGACAATCTTTGACAATATATAGATTGGGACAATCCAGCTTTCACATGCATTCGTTTGTAATATACCATTTACTGATACATTTTTTCCACCCAAGGTTTCAATGTTGGCGCCTCGCAACCAGACATCAGATTTTGTCGGCCCAACATTGAACTGGGGGAACGGGGGGCGCTATTCTTTTGAAATTGTATGAAATACAACAGCTGTCCCATAGTTTCTGGCAAAGATTGTAGGTATGTTATTATATAGGTAACATAAGCTTCAATTCTATTTCAGAACCATCCTCAGAGATACGAAAAACTAATTTCATATTAATATGAAATAAACTTCAACTTAATGCAAAATTCAACCACAAACGTTTTGCAAAACGTTTTAAAATGTTCTTAAAAATAAACTATCTGCCTTTAATCGGTAAACATTGAGTTTGAAAATTGATATAAACTGATTTCAAATTCTTGCATGAAAATAACTTTGCTTTCCTCTTTATTTAACTATTTTAATATACAAAAAAGGGTAATTAATAAAAATACACTGAAATTTTATGCCGTCTTTTTTCACTTACATACGCAACGATCGTATCAGTTTTTAAGGCAATTATAAAGCAAACAATAGATTAATATTAAAAACAAACTTACCTTCATTAACGTCGGCGACTTTGCTCCATTCTTTTAGACGTTTTTAGACGGTTTTTGTCTCTCAAAATGGTTTTGAAATTTGCAAAATCTTGCGGAAATACAATATATATGCTGATTTGCAAGAAATGTTTGTTGTTTCGCTGTCGTCATTTGTCATACAACAACAAATTTTAAATTTGACCAATCAGTGTACGCTATTCATGACAGTCCGCCACATATTTTGAGATTAGTGAGGATGATCACCCACTCAACACCGCTGGTCACCAACGCCCACGATCATTGATGAAGTTTAGACTTTGCTAATGCGTTCGTTTCCCCGGGTGTAAATAGCCGGGCGGAATTAGTGCCTTCGCCCCGGGCTTACGCGTTGGCTTGGAGAATTAGGAACAACCGTTTACACTGTCATCATTCTTCAATCTGATTGGATAAGAATTACAGTGGTACGTGGATCCAGCAAAGTTTTTTTGGGGGGTGCTAAACGAAACGAGCGCCGAAGGCGCGAGATTTCTAGCGTGATCCGAGGGGAATACTCTCCCGGAAAATTTTTAAAATTTGGGTTTCTGAAATGGCATTTCCAGCATTCTGAGAAAACATTCTGGAAAATTTTTAGATTCTCAAAACATTTAAAAATTCAGAATAGTTAATATTGGCTATTCCACTATTGTCAACTAGTGATACGCAACTGAATTCCTTAACATAAGTTGGTTAGAATTAGGATAAACGTCATTTTTGCACCCC